GGGGTCCCAGCCTGCGGAGCGCACGAGGAGGCTGCGCGGGACCTTTTGTGCCCGGCCGCTGCCCCATAACTTTGTTCTTTTCCCACACATAGTTCCACTCCAGGACCCCTGTCCCTTGGGGAGCAGCGTGGGGGACGGGCAGGCAAGAGGGTGGGTGAGGGGCGGAAGTGGCAAAACCGAGAGCAACAGGAAATGACTTAGGGAAAGTCCCAACCACAGCCCCCCAGCCCCCTGCCTGTAAACACCCCCACCCTGCAGCCTGCAGAAGGCTCGTGGGGCCCCATCGACTGACTTCCCCTTGCAGAACCCAGCGGGTGCCGCGTCTCTGCCTGGGGCCTCCATCACCTCCGACAAGCCATGTTCCAGGCTTCGGGAGCCGCCCAGGCCACCCCATCTCATGTAGGTGACCAGCCGGGTGGGAGGGACGAGGGGAGAGGAGCTGTGTGTTTGCCGGGCACCCTTTGCCCCCTCTTGACTGCCCCTAGGTCTGGGCTGGGCCGCCTCAGAGCCTGCCCTGACTGACTGTCTCTCAGGAAGCCAAAAGCAGCGGTGGCAACAGCGCTGTGCAGCGCTCCAAGGTAGGGCCCTAAGGGTGAGTGAGGGTGGAGGAAGGAGTGGGCGCTGGCCAGGCTCCTGGCTGAGCGTCCCTCGAAACAGTCCTTCAGCCTGCGGGCCCAGGTGAAGGAGACTTGTGCCGCCTGCCAGAAGACTGTGTACCCCATGGAGCGGCTGGTGGCAGACAAGCTCATTTTCCACAACTCTTGCTTCTGCTGCAAGCACTGCCATACCAAGCTCAGGTGCGACCCTGCCCTGCCCACCCCTTGCCCTGCCCACCCCTTGCCCTGCCTCTAGTCCTGACCCCGCCTGACCCTGTTGCTCTGCTTCCGCAGTCTGGGCAGCTATGCCGCGCTGCATGGTGAGTTTTACTGCAAACCCCACTTTCAGCAGCTGTTTAAGAGCAAAGGCAACTACGATGAGGGATTCGGCCGAAAACAGCACAAGGAGCTCTGGGCCCACAAAGAGGTGGACCCCGGCACCAAGACAGCCTGAGGCCCCTCTGACCATCCACTCCCTCAGCGGAGGGCCTGGAACTGGGCGGTGGGAAGGGCGGGAAAAAGATTCTCTGGGTTTGAGTAGGGGGCAGGGTGGGAAGGGGGAGGCTTGCTCAGGCAGAAGGTTCCGGGGCAGGGCTCTGCTCCAGGATTCCTTCCTTCTCCTTCAGTGGGGGTCAAGGGGTGGGAACCAGGATTGGGGTTTGCTCACCCTGCTTCCTTCAGCCCACCCCACCTCACCACATGGCCCCCTGGGAGGCCGCCAAGCCCAGCTTCCCTTTTTAGGTGCCTTTTCTCCAGCAAGGAGTCAGCATGCCCCCCTCAGGGTCCCAAGCTCCCTTACTGCCACCTGGGCCATGTTGGCCCCCATGTCTCCCCATCTACCTCTGTCCTTAGCCTGGTCCTGAGCCACAGACTGGGAGGAAGGAGAGTGAGAGTGTCACCTGCTGGACCTCAAGGATGCCACAGCAGCTGATGGGGGAGGGAATGGGGAAGTAGAAGGCAAAGCAGGGCCCACTGCCTTGGGGCCGGGACCCCCTTGCACCATGAAGCTAAAGTCCCCGCCAGGCTGAGCGCTTCTGAGACCTTCGGGGGCCAGCAGCAGCCGTGCCCCCTCCTCTCCCTCATTTCTGCCTTCTGACTGTTGTGATAACCCTGTTTTAAACATGTTTAAACAGATCCTGACTCTATTATGTGGCCTGTTGTGGGGGCTCTTGTGACAGGATGCCCATTGACCACAGGGAGGGGAAGGGGTTCAGGGTTAGCCCAGAGCACTCCTGGCTTTGATGGAGGGGCAGCAGTGTCAAGGAAATACAAGCTGCTTGAGAAAAGGGGTGCTCTCTGCTCAGCCAGGGTGCCGCACAAACAGTGTGATTCTATAACTGCAACTCCACTCTCATTGATCTTTGGGTTGGTTGACTTCCCAAGCCCATGGCCTCACATCCACACCCCTGTTCTGAAGAGAGGAACCAGAAGCATCAATGTCATCTGTTTGCCTTGCTACACCTGGGGGGCAGGGCCCAAGGCAGAACCCTTCAGCAGAGTCTAACCCCTTTCTATGGGCTGTTCCCAGCTGTGCAGCTCCCCAATCCTATTCCTTTGCCTTGGAAATCTGCATGGAATGTAGGAACCCACAGACCTGGCAAGTGTTGCTAAAGGTTTCCTTTTGTCCCTCCTCATTTTTGTGCCCCTCTTATTGCTATGTTCTGGGGAGTGGGGCAACCACAGCTACCCCTACCAGGTCATCCAAGGAGAGGTTGTCAGCTGTTCTGAGAGCCCAGGCACACTGAGAGGTGACAGTGTATAGCAGAGAAACAATGCAATCTTGGAAGATTGGGTTCTCCTGCGCAGACCCAGCTGTCCTGACTTCTCCAAACTGCCTGTGGGATAGAAAAGGTGGTGGAGCAAGAGGATAGACACCTAGGACTTGCTGCCACTGCCCCATACAACTCAACTTACTAATAAGCAGTGTGTAGGAATTGGTCTCAATTCCTGGTGACAGATGAGCCACTGTGCTGTTGAGGTAAGCACTGCTCCTTGAGGAAGTAGACACAATGCTTAGTAAGCCAACAGCACCCAAGGCCTGGATCCTGGGAGCTGTTAAGAGCCTCACTCAGGGAAAGCCCAACTTCCTATAGTGAGGCCTCTGTTGGGGACAAGGACAGTCTCTGCTCAAAGTTAAGCAACAGCAGCAGCTGAGCCAAGGAGAGATGTTGGAGGTGGTTTCTGATAATGCCCTGCAGGATGGGTCCAAGGAGAGCCTCAAAAGACGACCTTATTAGATGCCATGAGGGTCCCAGGAACTAAGCCACTGGTGATGTTTAGGTCAGAAAGGCCAACAGTGCCTCAGTAAATTGGCCCTAATTTACCACTTTCAGGAGAGGTCCTAAAAAGGGAGAGGGAGTGGAGGAAGGAGGGCACACTGAGGTAACATAACAGTGGTACCTAACCAAGTCATGCCAAGGCCCCTCTTCTTGGCATCAAGTTCTCTCCTGCTTGAGGAACCTTGTTACTAGGTGCCATCCCCAGCCCCTCCCAGGCATACACCTACTACCCCCAACCAAAAGCACCGCACAGGACCCCCCTGGTATAAATGATCCCTTTTATTGTAAGTAATGCGTGACACTGGCCTGGCTTTGCACTGCAAGCCCTCAGTCAAGATACAGTCAAATAACTATGGCTGCAGGTTCTTCTGCACAATCCACAATTCAGACACAGACACAGAGCTGGGAGGGCAAGAGGGGCAGAAGGGTGGCAGCACGCGAACTGGCCCAGCCCTGGCCCTTATGTGTGGGGTTGGGCAAACATACCCCATGGAATGGTGAGAAAATGGTAGCATGGCCCCTTGCCATGGCAAGCCTGGGGCTGCAAGGAAACTGCCCTCCAGAACTTTGGGGCCCAGGCCATCCTAGAGTCCCAGAATTTTTAATCTTGATTAGTAAATAATAAAAAAAATAAATTAAAATTAAGCAACAGCTTGGTCCTGAGGATGCTGATCCAGCATGTCCACAGTTTTTGGCACAAAAGTCGGTCTTTTTTGATTTGGGGGGAGTGCAGGGTTTGGTTGGCTTGTTTTAAAATTTTATTTTAAAAATAATCCCTGTGAGGTAAGACCCCAGGGGTAGGGCTCTGTAGGAGCCTGAACCTGGGTCATGCAGAGTAGCAGAGTCGTCTCACTTAGTCTCATCAGTGGCACCATGCTCTATTTCCTCTTGGGAAATGGGGACTGGGGACAGGGTATGGGCCAAGGAGTGCTACAGCCATCAGGATGGAGTCCTGGAGAGGCCGAGCTGCCTCTTGGCAGCTTTGGTCAAGTTGAGGGGCCAGTCCCCACCCTGGGCAAGGGCCGAGGTAGAGGCAGGAGCATGTGTGCTCACTGGCCTCAGAGGGCAGTGATGGGTAGAAGGTGGCCTGACAGAGGCCCCAGGGGAAAAGGGATGGAAGGGGGCCCAGGCCCAATTGGCACCGTGCAACACACATTCTGCAAAACCAGCTGCTTTCATTTTCTCTTCTCTCTCTTGAGGCGTCCATCACCTGTAACAGTCTAGAATTGATATATAAAAACCATCAAATATGATCTGAGATATAAATTAACAAGTACAAGGCCTCACATTACATGATGTGAAAAGGCTAAAAACAGCGATAGAAACTACATTCATAAAAGTGCATCGTCAACATACAACGAAGGCTTTGGCTTGTTCTGTGCCCGCGGGGTAGTGGGCATGGCTGGCAGTGAGCTGCCTGGCGCTAATCCCCAGCTCCCTGGAGATGCCCATCCGCGGGCACTAGCTTTTTTTTTTTTTTCTTTCTTTTATGATAACTCCCAAGGAAACTGGGTGTTGGGAGGGAGGAGCTCTAGCAATAGGCACATTTTGGAGGGGAGGGGCCGGAAGAAAGGACCAGCGCCCAGGCTGAGGTAAATATGGCCAACTCTAAGCTGCTTGGAGATACTGGCTCCCCACTGCCATTCCTCCCTCAGGGGAGGAACAAGAAGGGAAAGAGGCTGAGTCCTCACAGGGATGGGCAAGGCTAAGGAAGAACAGAGCTGGTAGTTTTGGACACTGCTGGTTGCAGCACATGGGCTTTCCCTTCTACTAGATGGAGTGGGCTTGGCCTGGCAGGGACATGACTGACAGGCAGAGACAACCCCTGGGCTCTCCTGAACATCCTTGCTGGGCCCACCGAGTTGTCCACCTTCCTCTCTGCTTCAGTGAGGAAACATGCCAGGCCAGAAGCACAAAGGTCATCCCATCAACTCTTTAGAATCCAGCCCAAAGCCCAAGCTCACACAGGGATACTCAGAACCCAGAGGGCACAGTCTCCAGTTTAGAAACTGGATACAGCATAAGAGTGACTCCAACTTGTAAAACAGAGACAATTGCATTGACAAAACTGGGTCTCCCCCCTCAGTGGGGGCAGCCATGTCTCAGGCTCCTGCTTGGGGGTGCAGAGTCATGGGGGCAGGCAGGATATGTTCCTCCTTCCCTGAATAAGGCAGCATAACATTTGCTTCATTCATCTTTGGTAAAGACTAGGACTGGCAAAACTGACTTGGGCCTCTGTCTTCCCTCATTTGTGGGACACTGGGCTTTACCTCAGGCTTGAGTGGGCTCATCCAGCCCAGAGACACCCTGGTGATCTCCAGACATTGGGAGGAGAAACAAAATAACACTCTGAATGAAAATAACACTATTCATACCCTTGAGTCAGTCCTGTACCCCCCACCCCAGGCTTCCCAGTCAACGGCAGTGTCAGGACAACCCCAAGGGCAGGGCCCGCAGCTGCCTTACACTTTCCCAGCCCCTTCCCTCCACACTGAGCTTAAGACACTGGAGCTCTTGGGTCTGGCAGGCTGGTGGCTCCCAGTCCTTGAGGCTACAGCCATCCCATCCTAGCTGAGCCCCATTGGCAGAAGGGGCACAGACAAACGCTGGCTGGATTGCAGCTCCAAGGTCCACAGCCTGGTCTGGGAGAAGCAGCAACTTCACTGCGCCCCACAGCAGCCCCTGCCTGTGCAGCACGGGGCAGCCGGCAGCAGTGGCCTTAAGAGCTCAGTATACGAGCTGTGCAAAGTGGTGTGTGAGCAGCTCCTCAGCTGAAGGTCTCTGATGAGCCTCCACAAAAATGCGCCTCAAGAAGTCCCGGCCATGTTCAGAGATGTGGGAAGGCAGCTGAGGGTTGGTGGGCTGGGTGGCAATCTTGAAAATAGCGGCCATAGCTTCATACTCTGCCCAAGGTGGCTTCTCTGTCAGCATTTCCACCACTGTGCAGCCCAGGCTCCTGGAGAGAGAATCTCACGTCACCCCTTGGCCAATTCTAGGCTCCCAGCTGCCTCACCCAATTTGTGAAAGGAGGTGCCTTCCTCAGATCACACTGAAGTGCAGGATGTGCTGAGCTGAGGAATGAGACTCCTTGAATCCCAAGACCAGAAAACTTTGAAACACTCTTTGCTCTTATCCATACGGGCCTCATCAACCTGCACAAATCACTCACCTGGGTACTTACTTCTTCAGACTGGAGAAAAAGGAACCACTGGGCACTGACAGAGCTCCAAGTGGGCTGGGAATGTGTGCTAGAATGCTTGCCTTGCACGTGGGAGATTCTGGGTTCCATCCCCAGCACCATACACACACAAAACCCAAAACCTCCAAGATAATTATATTAATTTCCTATTGCTGCTGTAACAAATTATCACAAACTTAGTGGCATAACTACAACACATACTTATTATCATCCAGTTCTGGAGATCATCAATCTAAAATTAGTCTCCCCAGACTAGAGTTAAGGCATTCATTAGCAGGGCTTGTTCCTTCTGGAGGCTTTTGAGGAGATAATTCATTTCCTCACCTTTCCAGCTTCTAAAGAAGGCCCCCTGCACTTCTCTTTTTCTTTGTGTTTGTGTAAGTGCATGCACGCATGCGTGTATACCCTCAGATCAACCTGAGTCTTGTGCTCTCCAAGCATGTGCTGTATTTTATAATGAGCTACACTCTAGCCCCACCTGTGTTTCTTGGCTCAAGTACCTGCGTGGCTTACTCCAGCCTTGTGTTTTCATTGTCACACTTCCTATTTCCCACTCTGACCTCCTGCCTCCCTCTTTATTTTTAATTTTTGTAGTGCTGGGGATCAAACCCAGAGTTTTGCACATGCTAGGCAAGTGTTCTACCACTAAACTACATCCCCAGC